AAAAAAAAAAAAAAGGTTGTGGGCTTAAACCTCCAGCCTTAACCCACACTTACCTGCTCCCCGATTCGCTCATGTTCCCCGGCTAAGACCACTCTTTCATCTTTTTAGGGGCATGCTCATTCAGCAGTCATTTATTGCCTGCCTGTTGCTATAATATATACCAACCTGTGCCAGGTGCTGAGAAAAAAAGATTCCTGATAAAAATCTCAAGCTCAAGAAGCAACATGAAGTTGTCCCTTCTGGAAGAAGGAGGGCACTGGGCAACCTATCTGGGGTAGAGGATGGGCTGCAGCCCTGTCCCGGCCCCTCCTTCAGCTGCCCCTTCTCTTCTGTTAACTTCTGTTCCTCTTTCCCCACCAGCCCCTCCCACCCCCACAAGGGAAATGGGACATTCTTCGAATTCTTAAGGGCTCACACAAGCCCTGGTTCTCTGCCACTTCCTCCCTCCATTGAGGAGTGGGGTGGGGTTCAGAGAAGCCAGGGCAGTTAACCCCTCGGTTGCTGGACTACTTCGGGCCTGATTCTGACCCTCTGCCCCACCAGACAGAAGTCTGGCCGAGCCTTGGAACCCAGTGACTCCAGTAGCCTAGAATTCAGTGAGCGTTGGGAGTTGGAGGAAAATCAGAGGCTTGTCCTTGTTTTCTCTGCGTTTTATCAGCCTCATCCAAAGTTCCAGCTTGCTTTTTTTACTCTCTTCTCGGGAGGCTGCTGCAAGGCGGGGTGGAGGGCGCCTGCAGGGGCTGGGGGTGCGAGGACAGGCAGAAGGTGAAGGCTTCTTCTCTGGGTGCTGCTTCCAATTTGCAGAGGCAGAGGTTCCTCCAGCCAAAAGGAGCTGGTTAGTCCCTCCTTGTTTCCTCCAGCTTTATAGCCCTAGGCTCTGCCTCGTTGACCTTTGGCCCAGCTGAGATGTTTCCTGGGGAGGAGCCTGTGGAGAGAGGACCTGGGGGTTTGTGACCCAGCTGTGTTTCACTTTAGCTGTAGAAGTACCTCCCCCGCAGCAGCATTCTCTCTGCTGGGCCAACTAGTTAGGCGTGGGGATTCTGGGATGACCCAGCTGTAGGCCCTGCTTGCCAGGTGTGTCCTTTGGGCCCGTCTGAGCCTTGGTTTCCCCATGGTTAAAAATTCCTGCCCAGGAGACGCAGTGGCTCACGCCTATAATTCATGTGGATCACTTAAGGTCAGGAGTTGGAGGCCAGAAGTTGGATCCACAGGCCAATGCATGTGGATCACTTAAGGTCAGGAGCTGGCCAACATGGTGAAACTCTGTCTCCACTAAAAATACAAAAATTAGCCAGGCGTGGTGGTGGGCACCTGTAATCTCAGCTACTCAGGAGGCTGAGGCAGGAGAATTGCTTGAACCTGGGAGGCCAGGGCTACAATGAGCTGAGATTGGCACTGCACTCCAGCCTGGGCGTCAGAGCTGAGACCCCATCTCAAGAACAAAAAGAAGACAAAACAAAAAAATTCCTGGTGCGTGAGAGGACCTGGGGATTTGTGACCAGCCGTGTTTCCCGTTAGCTGCAGTAGCACCTTGAGAAGAAAGCTGGCTCTCCCTGCGGTTTCTCAAGATTCAGTCCAGGGATGCTGGACCCTAGGTGAAAGTATTTATTGAGCACTTGCTGTGTGCCAGGCACTGGGCCAAATGTTTGCTGTCATTCCCTTCTGCTTTCTTACTTTTTGTTTTGTTTTGTTTTGTTTTTTTGGAGACAAGGTCTCAACCGCTCAGTCACCCAGGCTGGAGTGCAGTGGTGTGATCATGGCTCACTGCAGCCTTAACCTCCTGGGCTTAAGTGATCCTCCTGCCTCAGCCTCCCTGGTAGCTGCGACCACAGGCATGCACCACTATGGTAATTTTTAATTTTTTTGTAGAGAGGAGGTCTTGTCATGTTGCCCAGGCTGGTGTCAAACTCTTGGCCTCGGGTTATCCACCTGCCTGAGCCCCACCGCCTCCTGTTTTCTTCCTGCCTCTGGTCCTATCCTTGAGTGACATTCAGTTTCCCGAATCCTGGGGTTTCCAGGGTATAGCTTTCTGCGTTTTCTGTTTGGGCCTTGCTTTGTGGACCACAGGCCTGACTTCCTTCTCTGCAGCATCTCCAGTGCCATGCTGTGCCAAGCCCAGTGCAGGACCCTAAGGGGCACATGGTCTCTTCTGGCAC